CCATATCCATCTCCCTAAGTAGATTAAAACTCTTCTATTGGCAGAGAAATATTTGCAACCCTACAGGTCTATTGATACTTGGTATATAATAGGGATATATAAATTACAACTCATAAATGAAAGAGACAATGTAGCTGTGCAAATTTGATGGCTCGCAATAATCAAGTTTTCTCAGTCTTGAAAAATGGTATAGAATCCACTACACAGAAAATTCCCGGGCATTAGCCTGCTCTTCACTGTCTATATTTAAATCCGAAGAGATTTGTGCCAAAGGGCACAAAATATGACTTGTTATATTGCAGAAATTCTGTTCTCTATTCTTACTTTTAGTGATTTAGTTGAAAAAAATAATAATCATTTCTCACTTGAACTTCTGCAAAAGAACATTACATTTCATTTCAGATGCTTTTCCCTCACTCTGTCTTCTGCTGTTTCTCCAAAGCTATCTTCCTAAAGAGCAGATTTCTTCTGCTGTTTCTCCAAAGCTATCTTCCTAAAGAGCAGATTTGATGTCCCTTTCCCATGCTTATAAATTTCTTTTGGTACCCCATTGGTTATGAGATAAAATCTAAATGCCTGAGCCAGTAAGCCTCTTTCTTCTTTTTGTCTCGACTCGTATCTCCAGGCCTATTTGTAACCAGTCTCCGCACTGTACTTCAAACATGTCAGGCGCCTTCAACATCCTGTATCTTTGCCCATGCCACAGTTTTCTTTTGGGAGGTACTTCCTCATTTATATGCCTGGTAAAATTCCAGTTAGGCTGCAAACCAATCAGTACCACATTTATGAAGCTTCCCTGAATTATCCCTCTAAAATTAGTATTTTTTTCCTCTCTATCGTGAAGTTCAGTTTTTTGGGTGTAACTCAAAGTCCAGTTCTAGAGATTTTGCTGCTCCACTCTTATCACTGGGCCCAATATTTGTGAATCTATCAGCCCATTGAAGTGAGGTCATTATAGCTTCAAGAATTTCTTTCTCAAACACAGATAACTTTAGAACAGCTAATATGCTAACCAAGTCCCTGGAATTTACCTAAAATTTCACAGGTTACAATAAATTTACATGTATTCAATTTCAAACCAGGAAGACAAATATTTCTATTCAATAATATTCAGATCAAAAAGCTAGCCTCTCTGATTTTTCTGCTGCTAAATGTTTTCCTAGACCTTTTAAATTTGTCAGATCTACATGCCTGTGGACAAGGTCTCTCCTGACATTTCTGCTGTTCTGGCTAGTGAAAAGATTAAAAGTTTCCTGAGAGAGGTTGTGCTGAAGGTACTGGAGGACCACTTGGAATTCAGCACTGAAACCCTATGGACACCCACTGAAAACAGTAGTTCCTCTAAGAAACAATCTGAGCTCTTTATTTTTTCAGCACACACACATATTTTCAGAATACTATACTTTCAGAGTAAATTTACAATATGCAGTTCATTTTTAAAAAGAGTAATATAGATACATAATTTCCATTATCTAAGGCTAAACTTTATCCTAATTATATCTCTGCAGTCTTTTTTTATTATTATACATACACATGCAGATGACTTCCTGTCACCTGCATTTATCACTAGTATATTGTATTTATAGACACATCTTAAGTTATACTGTAGGGCTGTAATTAATTTGTACTATTATATATTGGATAACTCTAAACAAAATTTCCCTAAGTATGTTGCCAATCATTCACATTGTTTGAGAAGTCTAAGGAAGTTTAATACAACTACTGAATAAGGCAGAATTTTAAAATAGCAATTGGGATACAATATAAATGCAGATAGTTTATATTAGAGTCAAATGTATAAGTGCCATAGCATTAAGTATGCTATGTGTGTATGGACTGTCAAAAAGAAATCCATTTCATTTTTAAAGCTGGGGGTGGGTTAGTAAATTCAGTTCTTTAGCACTTTCTTGAAATTCCTGAAAAGAATTCTCACAGAGCACTCTGGTTTTATTAAATGAAACGATCAAGTATTATACTAAAGTGCTTACTTCAAAAAAAAAAAAAGATTAGAGGAAATTAGTCTTTAACTGGATGCTTGAATTCTTTCCAGGGTTCTTAGTATGTTTAGTTGTTGTTGGTATCTTGACTTTGACACTTTCTTGATTGCCCTTTATAGCAGCTTCAAGGCGGGCTTTCAGGGCTGGAGAAGAAGCCATTACACTTTTAAAAACTGATGAATACTGAGGTCCAATCTGCATGAGATTTTGCAAAGCAAAGTCATGTAAGTTCCTTAGTATGGAAGTTGCAGATCCCAGAGCATTCTCATCCAAAAGGAAGGAAATGAGGATGGGTAGAAGACAGGTCACCAGCTGAGAGCCTGAAAAGTAAACAAATGATGTCCGCCCTAGGTTCAGGGATGCAAATATTCATTATACAGCTATAAACACACTTGATCTGTACCCATATTTCCCCACTTAAGGGGAAAATAATTCCTCCAATCTCTTCTCCCAAATACTAAATTGATTATATAAACAACAATATACATATTTAAATATATATATATTTCATGTATTTGATATTTCTTTGAAGCTGAAATTTATAAAATATCCATTGAAGTTTGATACAAAAACCGAAGAAGGTCCATAACAGAGCTAAGGCCAATCAAAGTCAACTGTTTCATCATTAGAAGGGAAGGTGATTGGTGATACTTGTCCAAGGAATTCTTGGGGAAGGCAGTCCACCTTAGACAACTCTCATGATTCCCTGTGACAGCTATGACCCATGGCATGACTGGGCCTTATATTATTTTGCTGTAAAAGATGACGATCTGCTTTAATTCTTCATTCTTATTCTTAGTTCTTCATTCTGTAATATATTTAGAAAATGAACTCTCTCCCTTTTTTCTCCCTTTCTCTCTCTCTGAGAAGTACATATGTATCATTATAGACATATTAATTTTATTTATCTATATATGTAGAGAGAGAGAGAGAAAAATCTCTGTGGGGCATTGGTTTCTCTATCTATAAAATAAATGTGTCAGCCAGATATTTTTAAGAGCTTTATCTGATATTTCCCATATCTGAATCAGTTTTCTAGGCTGCCATTTAAATATAATCAACCAAATTTTTATCATTAAAGTCAGTACAATTAGTCACTTTCTTCTTTTTAAACTTTATAATCTTTAGTCAATTAATTTCTAGTAGTCACTGCTAGGCTTATGCTTCTCAAACATAGATGCTAGTTCAAGACTTTCAAACAGCACCTCAAATTTAGGGCAAAACCTCAAACTGTTACTTATTAATAAATTCTGTTTCTTTCAACGCTAGATTCTTAGACACTGGTTTGTTACCAAGTGATCTATTTCAGATCTTCTCAACTTCATTTCTAATGCAATTCTAATCATGATCTGGCATTGCACAATTCACTACTAAAGCAGTTTCCAAATTTGTTAAGCCTATAACCTCAAATCAGGCTTACATCTTAATTCTCACTCTTAAAAATCTATAAAGATCAAATGCATGATAAGGTATCATAACACTGTCAGAATCGGAAATGACTTTAAAGTTGATCTTCTCCAAGCCTTCCATTGATCGGGTGCAGGAGGAACTTGGGGCCCCAGGAGGAGAAGTGATATGACCGGTCATACAGGAAATGGGTATCAAAGCCAGAACTGACTTTGAGGTCTCCTAATTCCTAACCTAGTCTTCTTTTGACTGTATCATGCTGCATTTCTGATGTTCGTTTGTAAAAGCATCTTTCCTGATAAGCTCTCAGACATTTTCCTTTATATAAAATGAAAGGAAATGGTGTTAGGCAATCATGTTGCTACTTTCCATCCTCCTGACCTTTAGATTTTATGCTAAGTGATTTCCTGGAAGTGAATCCTGCTACATCAAATATATTTTTTTTCCAAAAGTCATTAACTTGTCCTGCCTCCTGAATTCATCATGACTCACAGGTGTAACAGCCCCTTGAGGAATCGCTAAATGTCTCAGACATTTTAGAGATGTTCTGGGTCAAATTACCACTTAGAAGGAGGACACTTAAATTAGAAGTGAATAAAATAGTTGAAAATCAACTGATTTACTCCCTGAAGGAAGCAGGAATGTCTCAGTTATATGCAGTATCAGGTCATGCTTCTCCGGAGATTTTATAGTGATATATGCTTCCAGTGTCCCTGAAAAATCAAGCCTTTCTGGATGACCTAATTTAGTTATAAAAATAATTGCTGTAAAGGGTAATATTCGCCCTATAGCAGACTGAAGCATATGCCTTTTAAAATTTATTACTGCATTTGATTCACCTAGAAAGCAGATTACTTATCTATTATTAAGCCTCAATTCCTCTTCCTCATTTTCCCCTACCTTGTTCAAACCCTATTTCCTTCTGAGCTCACAAAATCTCTCGCAGTGAAAGATGCTCCTTCTCAGTCAGGAAACCTTATGGTACTTAATCCCTTTCTTGTGCTCTTAGGTTTTGTTTTGAGGGACAATGAATTATGCTCATTGTCATTTTAAACAATGTTATGCAAGAAACTAGCTTTATTTCTTTCCCAACACCAACATAGGTCCTGGAGTGTAGTAAGAGTTCAACAGATGCCTGAATCTTACGGAACAAAACTAGTATGTGTTTTGTTTTACTCAACTATGCCACCAAGAGAAATGGTTGGAAATGTATGGAGTAATGGCACTTATATACATAAATATTTTCTTAAATCTGTGCCAAGAGATTCAAAATTGTTCAATTTGTGTTCAACAGAAGTTACCAGTTTTGAGTTGGAGGCTAATGAAATCAGCTAATTTTGCATGTGACGAAAACAAAGTTCATAAACCATTTAAACCACCCAACCGAAACACAAACAGGAGTGGGCTGTTAGGTATTTACATTCGAATTAACTTTCTTTTTTTTTAAATGAGGAACTAGTGTCCACTCAGTTTCCAAAAAGTAATAATTTACCAGCAAATGGTCATGTGTGTCTGCATGACAACAGGTTTGGCAGTGCTTAGAAGAGGGACCAAACAAAGAGAAATGAATGCATTACACAAAGTGTCAACCCCAACATATTTATTTGATTTAATCAAACTCATGGCACTTTCGACTTCCTGAACAAATAAAGGCACAAAAGCTGAGTTAGGTCAGTCATCCTTCTTGGTTTTTGTCTTGGGGAATTTATTCTGCTCACAAGCAAAAGAATGTAAAGTTGGCTTTTCCAACTTGCATCAAGTATTTAACAATGTGAATCAAATCCAAAACATAAGCTGAAACCATTAGTTTTAAAATAAACTCTGAAGGAATTTAAATAAGACTGTGTCCTCAAAGGATATCCTACTTTGAAGTGCAACTTTACATTTACTAGCAAAATGCCTACTGAACTAAGAGCTGCAGTAATGCAGTCACGGAAATGATGATCTACCATGCTGTTTTAAGATCAATTTTGTGTGTGGGATTAGGAAAACATTAAAGTAAAGAGTAAATAACCTACACCACAAGATCAATGATTTACAATTGAAAGAAATTCAAAATACCACTACCTAGCATCTGTTTCATAAATACCCTTCCAAGCGATTTCAGCCTCCCTTTGCACAATGCAAGGGCAGGGAATTAGCCCATTAACTTTCTAGGGCAGCTTCTGCTTGCTTTACATGAATTTAACAGAATACTCTTCAACAACTGTGACCTTGAGATTTCTATTCATGGTACAATTGTATTTTTCATGACCACAAATATATCTATTCTATCCACATGAAAAACTTTCCAATAGAAGAAACTTGTAATGTCTCATCTGTGCAGGCTACTCTTGCTTTTCAATTCTTTCTCCGTGTAATGTCAAGGACCCTCACTATTATTGTTTCTCTCCCTTTCCACACACTAAAGTATATATATATTTATAAAGTACAGATTTACATACAAACTACAACATATTTTTTCCACAGTTTATTTCCTAGTTTGCTTTATTCATTCATGTTTCTTAATAAAATATGTTATTAGTTAATATAGATTGCATCCACAGAGGGAATAATACAAAGTTTTTAGTGATTAACCCAATGAAAAATGTGCATAATTTATATAAAATAATAATAATGTATGGAATATATAAAATAAATGCAGAAACTTCTATTATGAATGAGTCTAATTACAAAGATTTCAATTTCCCCAATTTGTAGAAGTCATGTGATTTCACTACTAAATCTAAAATGTTTTTTCTTGAACCTATATAATGAGACAATAAACATTTTTTGAAAGCTTAAACAGACAAGAATATCAATGGATATTAAGAAAAAGTAAAATGGAAATAAATTTAAATATGTTTTTGTAAATTAACACATAAAGTACTGGATAAAATAGCTATACAAAATAGAAAATAGGTAATAGAATAGACTGCACATGAATTTAACATATTCGAGAAGATCTTTTGAAATTAACAGAGCTTGGGGTTTACTTAATAAGTCTAGAATAAATAATTAGAAATTTAGAAAAAAATTAACTTTTCAAGATAGAACTATACAAGGTTAGGTTAAAGAGTTAAATATATAAAAAGGGATTGCAATTAGTTTTCTAAAGCCATAATATTTTAGAATATGGAAGTCATAGAAAAATGACTAAAGTGCTTGAAACATCCTCCCTACCAGGTCCAATTAGCATAGTGAATCAATATAGTAGATTAACAAAGTATAATGTAGAATTTTTAAAAAGTCAGTGCCCCCTGCCAACTATTGTGATGGGGATCAGGAGAATTAAATTTGTCAAACTTTGTGTCCTTAAATACAATCTATCCTGGAAAATGTCCCATGTACACTTAAGAAGAATGTGTGTTGTGCTTTTGTTGGAATAGAATGTTTTATATATGTTAGATCTATTTGATCTACAGTATTATTCAAGTCTGCTGTTTTCTCATTGATTTTACATCTGGGTGATCTATCATTGATAGAAATTATGGCAGTTAGTCTCCTACTATTATTGTTTTGCTATCTATTTCTACTTTGATATCTGTTAACACTTGATATCTGTAACATTTGATATCTGTAAACATTATCTATTTAGGAGCTACAATTTTAGGTGCACATATACTTATAATTGTAATATCCTCTTGATGAATCAACATTATAAATGACTTTGTCTTTTGTGACAGTTTTTCACTTAAAGTCTATTTTGTCTAAGTATATCCATCCCTGCTCTCTTTTGGCTACCATTTTCCCAGAGCATCTTTTTCCTTCTGCTCATGCTCTGCCTATGTGTGCCCTTTAGCCTGAAACAAGCCTCTTGCAGGCAGCAGTATTGGTGGGTCCTTTTTTTAATCCATTCACCCATTCTTTATCTTTTAATCCGTTTACATTATAAGGAATTATTGGTAGGAAAGGACTTAACTATTATCATTTTGTTAATTGTTTTCTGATTTATAGTTCTTTTTCTTTCTTGTTTTTCTGCCCTCTTTCATGATTTTATCATTTCTTTAGTAGTATACATTTAATCTTTTCTCATTATCTTTTGTGTACTTACTATAGTTTTTTCTTGTGATTAGCCTGAAGCTTACATAAAACATCTTACTTGTAAGTCAATTTTAAGCGTATAGCTACTAAACTTCAATCACATGCATACTTCTACACTTTTACTAACCCTCCACATTTTATATTATTGATGTCACAATTTTTATCTATTAATATTGTGTATCCATTGACAAATTATTTTAGCTATAGTTATTTTTAGTAACTGTCTTTTAACTTGTATGCTAGAGTTAAAAGTGTTTTGTGCATCCCCAATATATATAGTATTAGTGTATTCTTAATTTGCATATTTAACCTATACCAGGGGGTTTATACATTCTGTGTGTTTTTCCATAACTAATTAGCATCCTATTGTTTCAACTTAGAGGACTCCCTTTATCATTATATGTAAAGACACATCTAGTGGTGATGAACACCGTCAGCGTTTGTTTGTATATGTAAGTCTTTATCTCTCCCTTATTTTGAAGGACACATTTGCTGAATATAGTATTCTCGGTTGGCAGGTTTTTTTCCCCCAGATATTTGAATATATTGTCCACTCTCTCCTAGCACGCAAGGTTTCTGCTGAGGATTCACCAGATAGCCTTATGGGTTTTCCCCTGTATGTGATGACTTGCTTTTCTCTTCCTGCTTACAAAATTCTCTCTTTGTGATTTTTAAAAATTTGATTATAAACTGTCATGGTGTAATCCACTTTGTGTTGATTCTATTTAGGGACTTCTGAGCTTCATATATCTGGATGTTCATATCTCTACCAAAATTTAGGACATTTTCAGCTATTATTTCTTCAGATAAGCTTTCTGCTCTTTTCTCTCTCTGTTCTTCCTTTAGTGCATATCTCCCATAAGTGTATATAGTATATTGATGCTATTTCATATATTCAGTTGGCTTTTTTCACTCATTTTTATTCTTTTTTTTTTCATCTCCTGACTTCATAAACCCAAATGACCCTTTCTTCAAGTTCACCAGTTCTTTTTCTTGATGGAGGCTATCACTGACACTATTATATGTTTTTCATTTCATTCATTGTATTCTTCAGCTCAAGAATATTTGATTATTTTTATGACTCTGTCTCTTTGCTGAACTTCTCATTTTATTCATATATTTTTTTCCTGACTTTTTGAGTGGTTTATCTGTGTTCTTTTTAGCTTGTAACCTACCTTAAAACCATTACTTTGAATTCTTCATCAGGGAATTTGTAGATCTCCATTTCTTTGTGGTTGGTTACTGGAAACTTTTTATGTTTTTTTGGTAGTGTCATGTTTTCTTGTTTTCTCATGTTATTTGAAGTCTTGCATTGTTATCTTTTTATTTAAAGAAGCAGTCACCTTTACCACTTTTCATTGAGTGCCTTCAGGAGAGAAAGATATTTACCAGTCAGCCCAGCTAGGGATTCTATGGGTTTCTCAGATCTTTTCTATGGATGCACCTGTTATACTCCTTTTATTTTCTTTGGAGGGGAAGTATTAGGATTGTATGCCTTCTCTCAACCTTGCTAAGCCATGCTTGTTCATACAACCTCCCACTGATTCTTTCTAGAGCAGTGGCCTGAAATCTTCACACTCACCTTCTCCCAACCCAGCAGAGTTGAGCCAGATGCTTATGTTCATGCATGATCTGCAAAGACTTGTGTGTGCCATCTACAGGTGGCATATGTGGAAAAAGCACTAGCTGCAGAAGAAGGGATGATTATAGTGTGGGGTTGCACATGGACTACTTTGGGGGATCCAAAGGTGATGTGTTCTATGAGGTTTATGGGGAGTGTCTTGGTAGAGTCTGCCAGGCAGTTAATAGAAGCCATGTCACTTTATTGACTTTACCTTGGCTGCTGTGAGTCCCTTCCCCTATTCCTTGGTCCTAGCTATCCTTAGACTCTTCAGCTATGCTGATTCACTAAATTTCCTGGGTGGGGTAATAAAGAACTGTCTTGAGCAGTGTCTCAGCTGGCTGAGGAAAATAGGTATTCACTATATTCCCTCTTTTCCCTATGGGAGATCACAGGCTAAAAAGGTCTCTCTTGGCATTGAGCTGCCCTGGGGAAGGATTATCACAGGTGAAGTAAAACTTCTCTTATTCTCTTCAATGTGTCTATTCTTGGACTTTTTTCCCCAATATGATGCTGGGGCCTTCAGTAGATTTACAGGCTGCCACAAAGTTATTCTTGTCTGTGGGTGGTGGTCCTAATCAGTTTTTTTGTGTCAGGTTGTGAGTGCTGAAAACTTTTTCTGCCACCTTAACATCTATGCATTCTCTGATGCCATCTTCTGTGCTGGGTTCAAACCAAAGCAGGGATCTACACAAATAAGAGCATTCACCTTTTGGCTACTAAGTAAGATTAGTAATTGTAGGACATTTAGAAAATGTTTGATTTCATTCTTGAAATACCAAACAATTCATTTTCAATAGTGAAAACAATATACGTTAAAGATTTCAGCTAAAGTCAAGTATCAACCAACCAAAAAGTTACAAACTAATTTGAACTCTGCAGAACCAATTCGATTTCACATGGAAATAGTCCCATTTCACATTTAAAGTAATACATCGGCTACTATCCAAGTACCACCATCGTCTCAAGGAATCAGAGCTCCTCCTTTGCTGAAGTCATCAGGAAGGTAACTTCAGAGTAAACAAAAACAGTAGGTTTGATGAATATATAAACTGAAACAGGCTGCCTGGATGCTGATTCCAACTCTGCTTTGAATAAATTTTTCCCCTGTCTAGGCCATAATTTATTTCTATGTAAAGTTAATGGATTAAAATAAAGTACAGGCATTGAATATATGACCTGAAAACAAATGTAGTTTGCCTATTCCAAGGGGATCACCTGATATCTTTAGCACAACTTAGAAGTCTTAATTTTCTGGTATAGCTCACCCAGTCTGGGAGCCTGAATGGATGGAACATTTAAGTCCTAAACTGCTGCTTCTGGAAAGTGAGAGAAAGGAGAGAGAACTGTTAAGGCTTTTTCCTAGGAATCATAATTTCTGCAAAGAAGTTAAGGCTTTCCTTAGGAATCATCATCAGTGCAATGGGAAATATGCTTTCTTCTGCATGCCATGCCTGATGAGACTTGTCCCACACAACGAGGTTTAAAATGTCTTTCTGTGTAAAAATTGAAACAGAATGCTGATTTTGCTGTGAAGAGGCAGACAAGCTGTGGTCAGATTAGAGAAATAAAGAGCCATACATCCTAAACTGTTTCAATAGAATGACATTATATATTAGTTGGAGCATTTTACCAATTTGTAATTTGGACATTAAATTATAGAAGTGGATAGAAATATTTCATTAGGTGGAACAATAAAATAATCTCAGACAGACTTTTAAAATTGCTTCCCCTGTCATATATCATAAACTAAAAAGAAAAAAGAAAAACACTTGGCTAAAGTGAGAAAGGTGATTCATTTTGGACATTTACAAAGCATCTCACATTTTAAGGTTTTAGAAAATTCAGTTTCATGGGTACTATTTTGATCCATAAAATGCAGCTATTTCTGAGGGTCAAGAAAGTCAAAGACTTAAGGAACAAGTTGCTCCTTGGGCTTACTTTTGATGTTGCTTTTTGGAATGCAAGCAAGGACTCGGATTACTTTTAAACTAGCTCATACCAATTTCACAATCTCTTGCTCTGGTATGTCTAATGAAAGTGGTTTTATCAGATATAAGAACCTCCCATCCAACCAATCGTCCAAGACTTATTCCTGAAATATGTTTAGAGATGTTGAGTATGAATTTAAAAATACTGTAAAACCTCTTAAAACTTTAAAATCATAGTATATTTGTCAAACTGTGCTCTCCTGAGAGATGTAGCCTTCAGAGGTCTTTTGAGGAAAAGCTTTGTTTTTCCTTATTTCTTTTAAGTTCAGTTTTGGAAATATGTACTTTAAAAATTTGTATTTGAAAATAACTTCAAACTTACCAAGAGCTGTAAAAATAAAAATAGTACAAAGAATATCCATATAAATTTTACTCAGATTCATCCATTAACATTTTATCCCATCTCCCTGCCTCTGCCCTGTCCACCTTCTCCTGCAACGGGAGCTTTATTTTCCTGCTCAGACTGACTATATTTATTACTGTGGTGGCAATGAAAGGAGGCAGGGTATTTTTGATGAAAACAAATATGATCTTGCAAGGCAAACTGGCTCTGGTGTTTTGCAGGAACTCTAGGGAATGAGGGGAAACGTTTCCTGTACAAGGGAAAGTAAACTGTCCCTGCTGAGCCAGAGTAATCAGGAGAATCTAGAGTTTGGAGATTCTAAGCCCATTCAATCAAATGTCCCCATCAATCAAATGTCCCCATTAATCAAATGTCCCCATTGCAGGCCTCAAGTCTCATACTTCTTCTACTAGCAGCTTGTCTTTGACATAAAACACCTAACAAATATATAAAGTTGGATGTATCTGTGTTGTCTTTATAATTTTAATCTTGGGCCTATGCCTTGTAGCTGTAGGGCTTGAGGGTCTTTTTTTTCGTCTTTTAAACCATTTCCATGGAGGCTTCTTATTTTGAAAGTATAACCTGAGTCTGTCACTTTAGTTTCTAAAGCTTTTGAAGATGTAAATAAAAGCCAGCAAAATCACCATCCTTAGAATTACTGTTGCACCCATATGATTTAAATGGCAACTCTTAAAACTGACCTCACTTTCTATATTCACCTTATTCTGATCTGTCATTGGTAAAATTTTTAGTGACTATAATGCTATGGCAGGCAAGGATTATCACTGCCCCACTCACCACCAGCAACACAGTCCTTACTGACTACTAAGTGTTCTAGCTTTAGAATCTGATTCTGATGGTTTGATTTTCAGGGGCTTTTCTGTTACCAACCAACTTAGGCTAGTTTTCTCAAAACGCGAGTATGAAATATGGGCCTCCATGTAGACAGTTTATTTTTGGAAATGATTCCCAGAAATAGGAGTGGGAATGGGAAAGGTATAAAAGGGAAGAAAGCAAGCCAATCTAAGAGTAAATTATCATGCTAGTTACAACAGTGGGAAACTAGAGATCTATTTAGCTAGATACCTTGAAGCGACCAGGTAGAAAGTGCTTAATTTATTGCTCCTGAATTTCAGAAGAAATAGGTAGCTGCTGGCTTCTATCCCTCAATTATTAAAGTTAGTCACATAGGTTTAATTACCTCAAAATTTGAGATTTTTCTCTGCCATTGTTCCACACAGCAGTGAAAGACAAGCTCGGGAAGATAAGTCAATTTACTTCCTTCAGCTGAGGTGAGATATCGTGGACGACACTTGCGCACAGTAGGATCACACAGTAAATACTGGAATAAAAAGGAGGGTTGAAATAATGTAAAGTAAGACACAAATTCAGTCAGTTGTGTATGTTATTTAAACAAGAGAAGAGGTATTACATAAAGAGTATATGTTAGAACAGGAATGTTTTACTAATTAAATGAGGATAAAATCCTGTATTAGTTTCCTATGGTTGCTGTAACAAGTTACCACAAGCTTGATGGCCGAAATCAACACAATGTATTATTTTACATTTCTCATGATCAGAAGTCCAAAATTAGATTTACTGGGCTAAATTCAATGTGTCAACACAGCTGACTCCAGTTCCTTCTGGTCGTTCTAGATGAGAATCTATTTCCTTGTCTCTTCCAGCTTCTAGAGGCCATCTATATTTTTGGCTTATGTCCCATTTTTAGAGTTCTTCAGAGAAACAGAACCAATGGTATATATAGACAGTACCCACCTTATGGTGGTTTGACTTACAGTTTTTCAACTTTACAATGTAGTGAAAGCAGTATACATTTAAGAGAAGCTGTACTTCAAAAATTGAATTTTGATCTTTCCTGGGCTATTGATACACAGTTTGGTACTCTCCTGTGATGTTGGGCAGTGGCAGTGAGCCAGAACACCCAGTCAGGCATGCCATCATTTAATGACTGATAAACTTACAATTATTCTGTTTTTTACTTTCAGTACAGCATTCAATAACTCACATGAGATATGCAACACTTTATTATAAAATAGACTATGTCTTAGATGATTTTTACCTAACTGTGGGCTAATGTAATTGTGTTCTGATCATGTTGAGAGTAGGGAAAGCTATACTATAATGTTTGGTAGGCTAGGAATATTAGATGTGTTTTTTGACTTATGATTTTTCAACATATGGGCTTATCAAGATGTAACCCCATGATAGGTAGAGGAAGATCTGGGGGGGGGGGAGAGAGAGAGAGAGAGAGAGAGAGAGAGAGAGAGAGAAGGCTAACCGAAAGACTGAGAGCTAATAATGTGACTATAAAACTCTTCCCTTACCCCCACACCTCATAAGCCCTATTTATAAGCAGTTTCCTCCCTTAAGTGCCTATGTCTGCTTATCAAGAAAAATCTACAAGACATATCAAAATGCAAAAACAAAAACAAAAACACAATTTGAAGAAATAGAGCAAGTTTAGAATCAGAAATGGCAGGACTGGAATTATCAGACCCCAAATTTAAAACATCTATGATTAATCTGCTGAGGGCTCTCCTGGATAAAGAAGACAGCATGTGAGAACAGATGAGAAGTGCAAGCAGAAGATGGAAATACAAAGAAAGCATCAACAAGAAATGCTAGAGATGAAGAAACTGTAACAGAAATGAAGACCGTCTTTGGTTGGCTTAATGGTAGACTGAACACACGAGGAAAGAACCTCTGAGCTAGTATCAGTAGAATCCTCTGAAACCAAATGTTGAAAGAACAAAGGCTTGATCTCTGGCATTTCTTTTTGATGCTTTCTTAGAATATCCATCTTTTACATTATCCATCTGTTCTTGCATGTTGTCTGCATTTTCCATTAGAGCCCTTAGAATATTAATCATAGTTGCTTTAAATTCCTGGTGTGATAATTCTAACATCCTTGTCATGTCTCTGATGATTCTTGCTCTCTCTATAGTCTTTCTGTCTTTCAGTATGCACTGTAATGTTTTGTTGAAAGTTAGATGTGATCTACTAGATAAAAGGGAGTCCAGTAAATAGGCCTTCAATGGTGTGGTAGTGAGGTGTGGAGGAAGGGCTACTGTATAGCCCCAGCATTAGGTCTAAGTCTTCTATGGAGAATCTTCCCCAGGGCTGTGCATTTCATAAGTGCTTCTCATTTTTTTTCTACCCTTATGGCTAAAGGGACCTAGAGTTGCGTATTTCCCTTTCCTACCTTTAATCCTAGAGGGTAAGAATTGGTTATTTCCCTTTCTCCAAGTCAGTTAGACTCTGATAAAACCTCAGTAGGTTAGGGTTTGGTACAATAGTTTCTCTTGGGACAAGTCTTCTTAAGAACAGAATGCTTTGGCATATCTCAAAATGGTGACTTTTTTCGTCCCCCTGCTGGAGGGAATAAGGGATTTTTCTCTAATCTTCACTGTGGGAAGCTAACAGAGCTCCTGCAGCTAAAACTCGCAGAAGTTGGAAGCTTCCCTTTAACTGGGCTGTCCTGTGGATTTTAACTCTCAGAATTGTCCACATTGTGCCTCCAGAAGTTCATCAGTTGCAGTTTAGGTTTTCTCTAACCTGGTGCTATTTCATACAAAGGTTTCTGCTCATGAGTTTCTGTCTGTTAGATGTGATTCTCTGTGTCTGCCTGGCTGCCTCTCCAATTTGTGGCATAGTGGTTTGCGCTGTTACCTCACTTTTCTGAGTTGTTGATTTTTCAATTTGTTCAAATTTTTTACATGTTGTTACTGTGGAATGACAACTTCTAAGCTCCTTACATGCCAGATTGGAAACTGGAAGTTCATCTTTCCTTTATCATGAAGGGTAGCGTGTGTTTGAAGCTGAGTATTTTTTATTATCCTATTCCTTATCTGTACAACTTTAGGAGTTTGGCAGTATTTTCTCATACCCTCTCTGTCCTATTTAGGTCAAGTTTGTAGTGTTTCTAAAGGTATAATATTCCCAAAAACTTTGTGGATCCCTGTGTATTTCATGGATACCCACTCGAATAGATAGGAAGCTCCTCTGTAGGTATTTCCTAGAAAAACCCATCTCTATTTTTGACTTCTCATGAGGTGGTTGAGGGCATCCATGAGTCACATCCCTAATCTTTACAAATAGCCATCTACTATTTCATTGTAAAACTTTGTTCTTTTTGAGTCACTATCAAAAGTTTGTCCAACCACACTTTGTCTTTCTCTCCAGAGCACACTTTCCTAATCATGAATTTCTTAACTTTAGAATCCTTTGAAATCAGGATAGGCTGAGGATTCCCAAAACATCAGGTCTTGATTCCTTTTTGCTTGATAGCTTTTACTACAATGTATATATTTCCTATTACACTCAACTATAAGCAGCAAGAATAAACTAAGCTGTACTTTTACTCTTAACTTGGACTTCCACTCAGCTAAATGTCCAAGTTCATAACTGACAAGTTCTGCTTTTCACATAATTAGAGAATGAAATTCAGTGAAATGTTTGCCATTACATAAATGATCTCCTTTCCTCCCATTTTTAATAGTATTTTCCTCATTCCCTTCTAAGTCTTCACCATCAAGCCCTTTAAAATCCATATTTCTATGAGTAGTATGTTAATGATTATTTAGAAATTCTCTAAGATGATATCAGTTTCTTGCACCATGACATTAAAAATTCTCCAACCTTCTATACATTACCCAAGCCCAGAGCTACTTCCACATATTTAGGAACTTGTTACAGCAGCACTCTGTTTCTAAGTGTCAAAATCTACATCACATTCCTGTTACTGCTGTCACAAAGTGCCACAACCTTGATGGCTTAAAAAAAAAACTCAAATGTTTAATAAACTCTTAGAGCTCTGGAGGTCAGAAGTCCAAAATTACTTTGACTTGTCACTAACACTAAGTCAAAGTATTGATGAGGTTGTTTTTGTCTGGAGGCATTGGAAGAGAATCCATTTCCTTGATTTTTCAGCTTTTAAATGCGATCTGGATTCCTTGCTCCTTCCTCCATCATTAGAATACATAACTCCAGTCTCTGATTTTGTCATCATGCAATCATTTCTCTAGCTCTGACTTCTCTTATGCCCCTCTAATAAGGTTCCTTGTGATTGCATCAGGCCCATGTGAATGATCTAGAATCTTATAATTAAACTTTTCTCAAAATTCTTAAGTTCATCACATCTGCAAATTTTCTTGTGCCATAGGAAGTAAAATTTACGGGTTTTGGGAATTAGGATATGAATATCTTGGGAGAGGGGCATCATTCAGTCTACCACAGGCCCACAGTTCCAGTAGTTTCTCTAGAGAGTAACAAAAGGCAGGAAAAGCCCCTACTCTTCAACAGAAAGGAAGAGGGAAATATTCTTTCATGTCTCCTCTCTACTCAGGTATCATAAATCTTTGAGAAGTACACAGGACAAGGAGTGAGAAAGAATTGTGAGAACTAGAGGATGTGATAGGCTTTTTAATACTGTTTGAAATAAAATTTTGGTAGCCATGTCTTTGAAGGCCTATGCAGAGTAGGGATACATTATGAATTGAGAATGCCTTTTTATTTGCAAATAATTATGCTGGACATTGAATCAGGCTTTTCCAGTTTCTGTAGCAGAATTATAGTGGGGAACTGAAGAAAAATAGAATATTAGCAGGTATATATGGAGAAAGAAGGATAGTATAGGCCAAGAGAAATAGGCAAAGGCTAGAATATAGAGGATATGTTTGGGAAGTGACTAATTTGGTGTGCTGAAATAAAACACAATGTACAAATCCCCCAGTATTGTTGCCCCACCTTCACTATGCAAGATTTTAGTGAGCATATATTCAGAAGATGCTTTCCATGGGAAAACCAATTTCCTGAAAACCAGTGAGCTAACTTTTAGCTCTCCAAAAAGCTGTGTTAACTCTGACGGATCAAAAGAAAGGAGAATTCCTTTCATTCTTATTCAAAAAGTTGTGTTTCAGTCCTCAAGTTTTATTTCTGGAAAAAATGGGGACAAGTTCTGGGTTTCCCTTTTTGCTGGGCCTGAGAGCGGGGTCACTTGAGCTCCAGTGGTTCATAGGGATCTCTTGAGAAAAGTTCCCTCTGCATCTGCCCACGCAGCACCTTTTCACAAGCTTATAACTACCTCTAAGGCCAGTGCCCTCCATTCTTCTCCCAAGTGATCATATCATTCATGCAACAGATATTTAAAGGCCACTGACCATGTACCACTGAGGCTACAACATTAGTGAACAAATTATTGTTTCTCTTGTCAGGGAGCTTATATTCTACATTCTGTACCCCTGAGCAGAAGCTTCCTCCTAGATAACTTTTTCAACCCAAAATTAACTCATGAAAATACATGCCTCCAGGGGTTACCTACAAATAGGTCAACCATAACCTATCTTGAATCCCAATTAAGCTCCAGGGATTCCTGCTAAATAGAATGTATATAGAAGAATATGGCAAAGAAGACTAAACAGGTGGGTTGGGGATAGATTGTAGAGGACCATCAGGGTTGAGTTAATGAGTAGTAACTTCCTTATAAGGCTATGGGAGGTGTGGAGGCTTTCAGAAGGAAAGCTAGTAAGATTACTTTTGTAGTTTTATGTGGGAGACATCAGAGGCTAAAAGGACAGATCTCCTATGTTACTTTGTGAGTGAAACCAGCTTTCAAAGAGCTAAAAAGAGGCTCTCATTACCATCCTAATTTACTGAGAGCAAAGCAGTGTTTATTAGTAGGAGGTTATTGACTTCAGGGTTGTATTTTCACCTGCAGCAGCAAGTATTTATTTACAATACTGCACAGCACTGCCATAGATAAGCATACTTTCTGTGAAGGTGTTTCTCTTCCAGATGTAAGAAAAACTCTTCCACTAATATTTCAAAGTATTAAAAAATTACATTGCTAAAGACAAAATAAATAATGCTTTACTACATTAGTTATGATAAAATTTTTCTTCCAACTCTTTGTCACCAGGGAATACCTGAAACTTTGTTGTAAGATTTTTAACAGGTTCCAGTAACACTTTTTTTTTTTACATATTCATGATTTGCTTTAATATTTCTTTTAACATACATAGTCAACAAAATTTTTCCATTTCAGCTTTATTGAAGTATTGTTGGCAAATAAAATTGTGCAGTATTTAAATCTCCATGCATCATGGAGATTTGATGCATGTAGACATTGTGAAAGGATTTGCCCCATCTAGATAATTAACACATCCACCACCTCAAATATATCCTTTTTTGTGTGTGTGTGAGAGTAAGATCTACTCCCTTAGCAAATTTCAATTCTATAATACAGTTTCATCAATAGTCACCATGTTTTGCATCAGATTTACAGACCTTATTCATCTTATAGCTACAGTATGTATACTTGTACTACCCTCTCTCTCTTCCCCCAACCCCTGAACCGCAACACCTACAACTCCTTCTCCACTTTCCCACACCAGCAACACAGGCAGTGTGTGAGACACTCTGTGTCTGGCTTATTTCACTTAGCACAATGCCCCCAAGATCCATTCATTTTGTCTGAGATGGCAGCATTTTCTTCTTTCTTATGGCTGAATCATAATCCATTGTATATATGTCACATCTTTATCCATCCATTTGTTGACAGACAATCAGATTATCTCAATATTTCAGCTTTTGTGAATAATACTGAAATGAATACACACATGCACCAAGAAGTGGGATTGCTGGATCAATTGTCATTCTTTGATTTTTAACTTTTTGAATTTTTCAGGGAATTGCATACTGTTCTCCATGGTGCCTGTACCAACTAACATTCCCACCAACAGCATACAAGGTTCCCTTTTCCCGCATCCTCACCAACACTTATTTCTTGTCTTTTTGTTATAGTATCCATTCTGTTCACTTGTACAGAACAAGTTTTCTCCTGTTGCTTTTAAAATTTTCTTCTTGTCTTTAACTTTTACCAATTTAATTATAATGTATCTTGGTGTGAGTGTCATCAGATTTATCTTGTTTGGACTTTTCTGGACTTCCTGAATCTGAATGTCTGTTTCTTTCCCCAGGTTAAGGAAGTTTTCAGCATTATTTCTTTGAATAAACTTTCTTTCCCCTTTTTTCTCTCTTCTCCTTCTGGGACCCCTATAATGCAAATATTTGTGCATCTGATGTTGTCCATTAAGTCCATTAAGATATTTTCACTCCTTTCCAGTCTTTTTTTCTTTTTTCTCCTATGATGAAATGAATTCCACTGCCCTGTTTCTTTGTTTGCTACAGTCTTGTGAGACTCACAACCACAAACCCCATTGGCTACCAGAGCCAGATGATCCATAGGTGCATCCGCAGAGTGGCAGCCACATAAGCCAGAGTGCCAGCCATGTGCACAAGTTCCTTTCTGGGAGACATTGGTGCTTGGAGGAGGCCAGAGGGTTAACATGAAGATGGTGCCCACCGAGCTTCCAGGTGTCCAGGGAGGATCACAGCCAGCCCCTAAATGTGTGTTCAACTAGAAGCTTGACTTGGAAGCAGCAGCCTTTAAAGTACGTAAACAGTCCTTTTCAATGAAAGACTAAGAGTTGGACATCTCAGTCTACACCCTCTGTGCTGAGCCCAGAGGAAGATAGCCTCAGTGAGTCCTTTCAAGCCCTGTTTTTACTATAGTGAAAACTTCCTGTTTTTACTATAGTCATGTGGGCCTTTTGGATGGCAGCCCCCTGGCTTTCAGAGCTAGTGTTTGCCAGGGAGCCATCTCTCAGGCACAAATGTCTTAAATAAATTTGGGGCACTTGATGGTTCTGCCCAAACCCTTCACCACTCAGGGAGAAGCTGGGAGCAGGGAGCTGCCTCCTGTGTATGTGACTGTGGTGGGGTTGGGGTTTACGGCCAGAGCGTGTCTCAGCCTTTTCTACCCCTTTCATTTTGAGTAGTTGCGTGCTTGTTCAATACGTGGAAGTCACTCGGGTAGTTTGCTCTTCCAGAGGCAACTGTTCCACGTGTAGCTACAGATTCAGTGTGTCCACGCAAAGAGGTGAGTTCAGGAGCCTTCTTTGTCACCATTTGGGACTGAAACTCCCATTTATATAAGTAATTCATTGCTCATTTTATATTTTGTAATGTTTCATCTAAGTTTTGCTGTTGTTTTGCACTGAATGCTTTTTAAAAAATTACATACTTTTTAAAGATGAATACTCATGCACAGAAGTCTACATCATAATTATATATGAATAAATTGAAAAGTTATGATAAATTTCTTTTTTAATTAACTCATCTTTTATTTTACAAAATATTGTGCATATATGGCACTTAAAAAATTAAGTATAGATTGAAAATATATTTTATATTTTAGTCATACATAATAATTGGATAAAAAATTGAGAGAGAAATATATAGAAGTTCTTGTTTTAACCTGGGTTCTACAGAAAGAAGAGCCTGAGCTTATCTGAGACTGTCTTCATTTGCAAGCACAGCACCAGGGAGCAGGAGTGAAGGAAAATGTAAGTGAGGCAGAGAAAAAGAAAAAGCCAATTGCTAGGACATGCTACTGATTTGCCTGCTGCTATGCAATTGATTCCTGATATCTCAGTCGCCAATAAGTTTCATAAACTGCATTCCAGGACAATCTATCTTGAGGATGGTGGGGGAGGAGAATTACTTACTAGTTCCTGCTTCCCGTTTATCAGTGTTTCACCCAAGATTGTGTAATTCTCAGTTGTGCTTTATTGGTGCTTAGCTGGGTCCCATTGCTTTCCAAGCTTTTCAGTCAACCGAGGAGTCTTGAGAGCAGGAAACAGGAGATGTACGGCGTAGGTATAAGGGATATTACCTGTTCGTGTAAAGCCAGTACCCAGAGTAATGGGTATATAAATCTGGGACAAATGAAACCAAAAAGCTTTGAAGTAGCACATAAATAGGTATCTTTTACAGGTCTCAGAAATATAAAAATATTGATTGTGGCATTTGTTTCTAATCATTAAATAAAAATATATAATGTTTTGGTGACATTTTACATGTAGCACACTCAAAATATGTTTATATAAATATTTGCATCTCTTCACTGCTGCAAAAGTATTCCAGAGATATTTGGTTTGTCTAAAAATTGATCATTGATCTTTTTACTATCACTTTTGCTGCTGAATAGAGATAATTAATATTGATGATGAATTTTACAAAAGTACTAGCTACAGATTTCTGGAATTCATATCACTTCCACTTAGCTGTCTAGCACCAAACTGTGTTGACATCTGCATAAAGTGTTGAGGAAAAGTGGTCTGAGATTTGTTTAACTGAAAGTATGATGGGATATCATCCCAGTAGTTGTGTAGGTGGGTAGTTAGGCAAATACTTTGCTACACAGCAAAGATATCCACACCCACCTGAAAAAGCCATTGATACTTGTTAGTGTCCATAGTGTCCTCAATCTTTCCCCTGCAAGACATCACATACTTTGTCACTGAATATTCAAAACTGAAAATAGTCATCTTTGGAAAGATTTCTACCTAAAGCTTCCACTTTGTAAGTCTTTCAAAGCAGCTTGTTTTAAAAAATATTTAAACAGATCTTCAGATGACAGATTTAACATTTTCATAGATGACACATGTGGCTTTTTCAATAGAAAATCTTATGACAATATAATTTGTTTTACATGTAGCATAAATGACTTTAATCTATAAGACCTGTATGCGAGAAACACCATATTTACATTTTTTCTCTAGATTAACTTAAAAAGGGCATGAGACCCTGTCACCCCATCTAGCAGAACATCCAGTATTACTCACCATGGTGCTCTTCAAGCTTCCTTGGTGTCAGGATAACAGGAAACTGCGTGGTCCATCTGCTCTTGCAGTCACCACGGTCAGTCTGTTCTTTCTGCAAGGAGATGCGGCTGTTGATTGCTAATCCTTTGTCCTTTATTGTTCCAAGGCTAGGCCTAGAGGCTCAGTCCTGGTATTCATCCTGTCAGTGCACTGGCCTAACCCCTCCCAGGTGTCCAGCCAGTTCTCTCCATGGCAATGGCAATACAGTGCATGTTCCTGTCACCCATAAATCCTCTGACACTTGCATAACTCTATGCCAGAGAATCCACACCCCTTCAAGTTTGGCTCTCTGTCTCCCTTCCCCTCTGGTGAAACTCAACCTTTGTTTCTCCCTCAGGGACCTGGATAGGATTTTTCTTCAATAATTAAAACCAAGAGAAATTATTCATTGTCCCTAAGCAGTAAGAAGAGTTCAGACATTATAATTTCAAAGGAAGTCTTGACACAAATGTAGTTCTATGTCTTTCCCATAAAAATGTTTGTGAGCTAAATTTAATGTTGAATTATAGTAACTATTGTTAACCTGACTTTTCATTAACTTTATTTCTTCCCCTAGCTTCAGTGCCTTCCTCCAAATTAATTTACTATTGAGCTTTATTGTGTAATGTGTCCACTGTTATGCTTCTAATCATTTCTGCAATAGTATAGAGTGCAGGGGAGAAAGGATAGCTTAAAATGTATTAAAAACAATAGTACATCTTTAACATATATTGAGAAATTTCTTTTATTGGTAGCCTTCAGTGAATTCTCTTCTGTGACTTCTCAAATGTGAATGATAAGCTCTTCCATTTGGTACAGTAATTTTTGGATTCCATACTCAATATGCATTCACCCATGATTTTTAATACGCACGTGAAATAATTGTATGAACCAGTTCTAGGACTAGTGGGACTTCCTGCACTTTGGGATGAAGTCACATAGATAAGGGATTTTCTATTCCATTTTATATTTTCAAGTTGCTGTTCAACAGAGATGAGTTTTTCTTTTGATAAAATTAAAACTCTGAACAAAAGCGGGATCATTTAGTATCAAAGAAGTAAGCAGGCACCCAAGAGACTATAAACCATAAGTATGGACACAGAAAGCTCCTGGCAAAAAAACAAATACTTTTACATAGTCACAAAGACAACGGATCACATAGACACAGCCATTAATGTCAGAAGAGAAACAAAGCCTCCTCTAGAAATAATATTTCTCCTGAAGAATAAAATCTGAAATACTGGCTTAAGGGACAAATTCATTTATAAGCTGACTTTTAGCCACCAAACCATCTTTACCTTTATTCCCTTTCCTCACTGATTGAAAGCCAGAGAGATTACATAAATGGTCCAAGAATACACAACTAGATAACTGATGGAATAACAATCTGTCCTAGGATATTTTTACTATAAAAAGTATGTCCTTTCCACTTGTGGAAGAGGGGACATATTCTTGGTGCTGATATTAATTATGCATCCTTGGGTATATTGCAGTTTGAGCAGTGGGTAGGGTGAGGGGGTACCTCCACAGGTAAGGATAAATTATAATAGATAATTTTATTTCCACTGATGTTTGGGTTCACCCCATTATTGAGAGGTAGAAACCTCTTGCCTTATTATCAGATGATAAGTACCTGGTGTGTCAAGTGTGGTTTGGTGAATAAGGATAAAACATGAGGAAAACAGAAAGACCTAAGAGAAAAACCATGAAAGTGTCTTTTTAAGGAATAAAATGCATTGCAAAAAAGATGATTTTTCTAATTTGTCACTGTGATTTAGAGGACTACGCTGTATGGTCAAAGGCAACATGAAAAACAAAATCTAATCAAACAATTATCCATCCCCTTATTTTAACTTTTTAAAAATTTAGTTTAAAATAAGAGAACTTGAATCAAATAAGTTCTACATATTTGAGCTGTTCAATTTGTTTTTGTTCATTTGCCGTTTCCATCTGGGATCAAAATATATGCTGCCAGAGTAGGCCTAGGAAGGCAGCCTGCATGGGTTCCCATCTGGGATCTCTGATACCAGGCCAGCAATCTCCTGGGAGAACTTGCACTGGGTCGCAGCCAGACTTAGGGTTATTATTTTGAGTGTTTAATGTTAGCATGAAAGCAACAGGAAATTTAGTAAGGTGTAGAACATCCACAGAGAAGACATCCTTTTCCAGCAGGTGAACAATTGTAATTAAGAGCAAAGCTTTGGAATCAAGCATTGATGCTAAAATTTGACATTTTTCATGTGTTTTACCTTAGAAAAATTACTTAGTTCCTCTAAACCTCAAGGTCATCATATGCATTTATTGTAAGGAATAAAGGAGAGGATATAAGTAAAGCATTTACCACCTAACCTGTTACTTAACAAGGCTAAAAAAAACTAAATACCAGTGGATTGACTCATTATTAGTCATCATTTACCATTTCTGAATGTAATGCCTAAACAATACTGTAGAAATGCCACAAATAAAATGTGAAAACAAAATCACCTCGAATTTCACTCACTACCTTAAACATCATGGACACTGTCTTTTGTTTAGTTTAGTTTACATGCTAACAATGTTTATATGACAAAATCAGTTTCATGAGCCAATAAAATTTTAGCTCTGTAAGGACAGGGATGGTATCTGTGCTGTTCACTGCTATATACCCACTGTATAATACAGATTATTGAGTTGAATTGAATATGATTTTTAAGCATAGTCTCTGTAAGCATTATTTTAAATAAGTGGACTGTAATTGTTAACTAATTTTTGCTGTAACTATAGTTTCTAGTTCTCAATAGATAGTTCTAATATATGACTGTTATAGACCGATTATTTATTTTTAATGCCCTTTTTTATCTAAGTTGTGTTCCAGTTTGAATGAATTATATAATTTTGGCTGCCAACTTTTTGTTTCATAAATAATACTGTGATGGACATCTTTGCACATATAAGCTTTTACTCCTATGGTGTTAATTCTATAGGAGGAATCGGTATGATTAGGATTTAGTCAAAAAGGGGTATTTCAAAATAATTTCCCTTTTTAATTCTTTTGAGAAAGGAAAGTGATAATTTATTCATTTTCTTAAAATTTATTATTTTATAAAATTATGTGATTTCATCAAATTTCTGTTGATCATATTGTCCCTAATACCTCTTCACTAATGGATTTCAGGAACTATCAAAAAACAAGCAAGACAGAAGTGTTGTCAATTCTCTACAAACCTTAAAGTATTTTACAAATGGCTTCCAAACTGTGGTTTCATTGATCAATTTACTCCTTAATTCTAATAAGTATTATAAGTTCCACAGCATATATTTTTCTAAATCAAATGACAATTTTCTATATACTCCCAACTCATAAGACTGGCTCTAAATCAGTTGTCAATTTTTAATTGACTCTTTTCCATCTCTGATACTCACGTGGTCCTAACAAATGGGTACATGTGGAGATGTTTTAAGAGTCTGATCATTTACATCAGTTGTATTTTCTTTGGTTTCTCAGGCATGGTGTTGTGAACGATGACTATCATGGTTGGTGTCTTCATGGAACACAGAGACCCTCACCCTTCCCCCAGTGCTGAGGTCCTTTGAGCACAGCCTCTAAAAGAACCCACATGGCTTTTTTCTACCCAGTTTTCAGGAAGACAACACCTTACCAGTTTCCAAGGTCCCTCTCTGTCTTAGCTCAGGCTGCTATATCAAATGACCGTAGATGGAGTAACTTAAACAATAAACATTTACTTCTCACAGTTCTGGAAGCTGGGAAGTCAAAGCTCAAGGTGCTTTTTATCATCTCACATCATCACAGGAAGAAAGATGAGTACAGTATAATTCTGTATTTTGAGAGAGATCACATTCATATAACTTTTTTACAGTATATTATAATTCTATTTTATTAATTAGTTACTGTTGCTAATTTGCTACTGTGCCTAATTTATAAGTTAAACTTCATCATATATATGTGTGTGTAGGAAAAAAAACCTAGTATATGTAGGTTGATACTATTTGCAGTTTCAGAAATCCACTAGGGGTCTTGAAATGTATCACCTTTGGATAAGGGCACTATGTAATAATAATAATGATGATGAAAATAATAATGTTTTCAAAAGATAACTTGAAATTTTTTCTCTTTCCTTTCCATAGCATAACTTATTTACTAGCTATATGTAACTCTGTTAGATGCTGTGGGGAGTCAGATGTTTATGTGGGGTGGTGGATGGGATCAAGGTAGAAACTGGTGAACTGGTGATAAGGCAATCACTTGTTCTCAAGGAGCTCAATATCTAGTAGCAGAACAGATAGCTCACCGTTAGTCTAGTGGCTAAGAGCAGGCACTCTAGGTTCAAATCCCCGCACTGTCATTTACTAGCACTGGTCAAATTGGGTAATTTCTTGATACCTTAGTTCCCTCATCTGTAGAGCAGCTAATAAATCTTTTCTAAGATTGTTGTGAAAATTACATGCGCTAACATATAATATTATAATAAAATTAACATAATAATAATAAAAAGAACTTAGAAGACCACCTGAGGTATACCAAGTATTCAGTAAACTTCAGCTGTAATCATTAAGCTAGATTATAATACAGTGTGAAAGATGTAAATAATGTGTTAAAAGGGAAAAATGAAAGAAAAATCAGTTCATCTGAGAGGATCAGTGATGCCCTCACAGAGGAGAATACTTTAAGTTGAACTTGGAAGAATGGATAGGAATCCAACAGGTAGAGAGAAAATCATTCCATGATGAGGAAAGAATGTCAGTACTTAAAAATGCACGGGATGTTTTTTGGGATATGTGAATTAGCCATGCACGTGAGGCACACAAAGGGTGCAAGAGAAGGTTTTCAAGTGATTAGCATGATTAATGGTAGAAACACGAGGCACTGCATTAAAAAGTCTTATATACCAAGCTAAAATACTAAGATTTTACTCTCTTGGGCACTGGAGCATGATCAGAGGTTTTCTGAGCAAGACAACAGTATAACTAAATATTTATTTTTATGAAAACAGTTGACAGCAAGGTTAAGCATGATTGACAAAGGGAATAGACTAGAGATAGGTAGGTTTCTCAAAGGGTTTGTGAGTGGTGATG